CTCCCTGAGGAACTCTTTATAGAGTCCAGTAGGTAGCTGGGAACAAGGCAGGTGGTTATGAAAGGAATTCCTGTCCATCCAGGGTGGCTGGTCTACAATGTAGAACTCACTTGCTTTTAGTAGGGGTGGTGCACTAGGGCTCACAGAGCAGGGCTATTCAGGGGCTTTGTACCTGGCCACCGGGTGGATGAGGTTGGGGGATGACCCGGAGGCTGTGGGGGAAATGGGAGGATCCTAACCTTTCTCCTCTTAGGCAGAGTGCTGGTCCTGAGCCAGAGGGGCTGGCTATGCCCCTGCTGTCTCAGGCCAGCCAACAATAGCTTCATCAATCTCTTTTCTGGTCCCTTTAGTTCAGTTTTTTTGCCCAGTTGGTATTCAATCCACTTTTCTATATTTTCTCTGAAGCTCAGGTTTCCAGGTTTATCATCCTCTCTGCTTTATCTGGCCTCTTCTGTTGTGGTTGGAGCAGGTCTCTGTAGTGAGTCAGCCTAATGTGCCATCTTGCTAGAAACCTCCCAGCGGGTGTGTGTCAAACGATGCATCATTCTCCGTGAGGGCATAGGTTTTTCTTGACAATGGTTAGACAGAATTTTTTTCTTTTTTTCTTTTTTTTAGATAGAAATTCTAACTGCAGATCTCCTTATGGCTAACACCTCTATTTTCAGGGCAATCTTTCGTGATTAAGTTAGCAGACTATGTACAGAAAATGCAGCAATAAATAGAACAGACAAAACCGTAACATTCAATAACCACGTGGAAATAACTTATAGGGAACTACAAATACAAGCCACCACATTCAGAGAGTACCTCACACCTCTGAGAAGGACTGAGAGGAAAAGACTGGAGCTTGCACATCTAACGGGAGGGAATAAGGTTAACATGAAACAATCATTTTGGAAAATGATTTGACAGATTTTTTCTCATGGAATCCAGACTTTCTGGAGTCATTGAAGCTTGACAGCTCCCTGAAACTATTGCCCTGAGTCAATCTTTAAACGCTAAACTAAAACTGGCCCTGAAGTCATCTTTACACCAAACAACAGTTCAGCAGAACTAGGAAAGAATGTTTGTCTTGAGTCCTGTGCTCACTGAAAGAATTACCTGGTTGTAATTGAACAACAGCCACTCAGAAGGTTAGAGGAACAACTTAGGGGGCAGTGAGTTTATGGGAATGATGGTAAAACAATTTGGAAAAGGATATTGAAAAAAGTAGTCCAGCCTGGTGACAATTCAAGGTCATTGAATTGTATCCCTACGGGCTAATTTAGCGTGCCTGTGTGTGGCAACATTGCGGGAGGGAAACTGCTTTTTCCCAGTTTGAGATTTCCAGTTTTTCAGGTTAATTTATTTTTAACCATTTTAGTTCCAAGCCACCTTTGGCCTACGGGAAGCTTAACAACACCTAGATGGTGGCTGGGTCCTAGTGAGTTGAAGATTCCCATGCTTCTCTGGAAGTGCCAACCCTTCCATAGTGAACTGGTGTGATGGGGCCAGCTCTTAGAATGACGCAGGGACGCTGTTAATCAACATACCAGACATATAACATCATCTAAGATTTAGATGACTGGAAATCCCAAACGGAGTATTCTGGAACAGCATGTCCCAGTCCCCTGCCTTGCAGTAAAAACCCCTTTTTCAGCTCAGCCACTAGGTCTGGGCTTCAGACTTAGGAAGTTGGTAAGACAGGCCGAAAAGGTGGGAGCCGGGCGTGCAGGCCCCTGGGAGCAGCAGTCCCATGTGCTGCAAAGTCCGGGATGGCTGGCCAGTACAGGTTAAACTCACGATAGCTGTTTCCTTCTTTAATCATGGCAAAACCTACTTTTGGTCACATGGTTTGGGGACATAACTTGCTTGATTTGCGAAGCAGGTGGGAGGTAGCCAATCCTGCTGTTTCCTTGTTTCTCAAATCGTCCTGGCTGAACGATGACAGCCAACCCCAGACACTTGTTGCCAGCAACCCAGGCCCAACAGCAGGCTCCTCTGTATCAGCGGTCATGGAGATGGCTCCGAACCTGGCAACATTTAGTTTGATCAGACAGATGGCTTGATGAAAGACAGTAACTCAAGGAAGAGGCAGTGGCTGCAAACTACACGTTTGTCGTTGTCAGGCGCCATCAAGTCCATTTTTTGTTGCCGGGAACCAGGGTCTGAGGTTGCCTGTTGCTGTTTCAGCTGAAGACAAACCAGGTTGATTTGAGAAATTCTAAGTTTATTCTAAGAGCCCTCATGGTGTCGTGGTTAAGTCGGGCTGTTAACTGCAAGATCAGTCGTTTGAAACCACCAGCCCCTCTGAGGGAGAAAGATGAGACTTTGTATTCCTTCCTGCCCAGCGTTACCATCTCTGAAACCCAGAGGAGCAGTTCTATTCTCTCCCACAGGGCCACTAGGAGGCAGCAGTGAAGTGATAGCAATGAGTGAGTTCAAGTTGATTCTGAGACAGAAGGAGCTCACTCCTTCTGGGGTTTGTTATCTCCAAACTGCTTTAAAAGCCAGTGAAAATAAAGCAAGTGACATGCTCTAAATTATGTGACAAAACACAGGCTTTGCAATTATAGCAGACAGTGATTAGCAAGTTTTGCAATCATCATAGGATCCAGTGGTTATTCCAAACAATGTGACAAAAAGTGCAGGTTTTGCAATAATCATAAGAAATGATCCATACCTACATTTCTCTTGGGGTCAGCAGACCACCATCCCCTGAAGCCTCACATCCCGCAGTGTATCTGAATGGGGGATGCTTTGTGCCTGGCTACTCATCTGAACTGACTTGCTTACCTCCTTCCTGAGTTGGAACATCCCTCCTAATTGAGCATAAAAGGAATTTTATAGAGCAAGGGAGGGGATTATAATAGTTTGTCTTTCTTAAAAATATATATATTATAAATATATATAATAAAATATATAATAAAAATATATTATAAATATTATAAATATAAATTATATATATTATAAATACAGCATAGTTTAATATTTTCTAGTATTTCTAGCGTTTTTTATTAACAGCTGGCTAACTTTTTAACCCTTCCTTCATTTTGATGCAGAATGCCCCAGATGACAGACAAATCGCTAAGCCAAACCACTGCCATTGGCTCAATTCCGACTCACAGTGTTTGAGGCCCTAAAGTCTTCAAGGGAGCAGCCAGACTCATCTTTCTCTAAGGTGGGTGTGAACTGCCGACCTTTGGGTTAGCAGTCCTTTCTGTGGTGTCATAAGGAACTGGAAAGAAGAAACACAAATTCACATGTTTGCTGCAAGGGCAGTTTGACAGCAAGAAGCTGAAGCTCTCTAGAAAGCCCCAAACATCAAACTTCTGCGTTCAAAAGTGGCAAGCCAAGCCCTCCTGCCAGACTTTGCTCTGCCTGCGCACAGCTGGTCCTTGCCCACCTGGCCACCAAGCGGCAGCTTGTAGGCAGATGGCGCCCTGTAGACAACAAAGGCTTTGATGAATCCTCGAAGGCACTAGGAGTGTGAAAAATGAGAACAGTGGCCAAGCCTGACGGTGTCATGGCAAAACCCTCACGGTGAAAACCAAGAGCCCTTTGAAGACAACACGGTTTTCCTATAACCTGGGCGAAAAGTTTGAAGAAGTACAGCAGATGGCAGAAAAACTCAGACGGTCTGCAACATTACCGACTGAGCGTTGGTCCCACCCCAGGAGTGGGATGGGCAGGAGAGCACAATCACGGACACCGGGAAGACGGAGAATTAGTGGTGGAATGTGTGGTGAACAAAGCCACCTGTACTCGGAACTATGGAAAAGTAGAATAAAAATTTTGTCATCATTTGGACAAGAATTAGGATCCAGTGGTTATTCCAACAATGTGACAAAAAGTGCAGGTTTTGCAATAATCATAAGAAATGATCCATCGATACCCCACCCCCCACCCCAGGTAGCCAGAACAGGGCAGTGCAGCCAGAGGCATTGTGAATGCCTGCTGCTTCCTCCCCCAGTCAGAATATTGTGGCTGTCAGGTGCCGTCTAGTTGGTTCACACGGCACCCACGTGTCCAACAGGATGAAACCCGGCCCAGTCCTGTCCCGTCTTCACAATTAAGGACTACGCTTGCGCCCATTGTTGCAGTCGATGCATCTCATCCAGAGTCCTCCTCTTTTTCAGTGCCCTCGATCTACCAAGCATGATGCCCTTGCCTAATCCTTGCCCTTGCCTCCTGATCACATGTACAACACATGTGACACAGAGCCTTAGCAACCTCACTTCAACCTCATTCTGGTGGACTACTTCCCGGAGGAGCTGGCTCTTCTTTCGGCAGCCCACAGCGGTTTCCCTGGCCTTCGCCAACACCAGAGTTCTCTTCTTTGGTCTTCCTTTGTTCTTCTCTGCAGGTATGTGCATCCAGCACCCGGACTTCATGCTGTGCTCTGGTCTCAGACCCCAAACTCAAGAGATTGTAAGATGGAGAAGAGAAACCCGGAGAGGTGCATGGGATAGAGAGATAGATAGGTAGGTAGGTGGGTGGGCGGGCGGGCGGATGGATGGATGGATGGATGGATAGATAGATAAATGATAGATAGAGAGATGGAAAGTTAAATAAAGGGAGTCCCTCTGGCTTTGGGGCTTGAGACCACACAACTAGTCTGTGCTTCGAGCTGTTGGGGAAGACTTTTCAAAGGACCTTAAGATAAGGGTGGGGGTGAGGTGCAGGAGGGGGTCTGATTCAGCCCCTGCGGTCCGCTAAGCATTGGGCTGCTAAGGGCAAGGTCCGCAGTCCGAAGGTTCCAGCAACCCTCCAGAGAGAGAGCCAGCCTTTCTCCTTCCGTACTGAGTACAAGCTCTGCAAGTCACAGAGGCAGTTCTACGAAGCTCTTGCTGGCAGAGTTTGGGTTAATGTCGCAGCGAGGGAAGGGGACCCGTGGGCGTGGCTCTCTCTGCCCCTTTAAGGCATTGTGGGGGTGGGGGTGGGAGAAGGCGCGGCTGAGAAAGGGGCGGGACCCGCACTGCGCACCGCCCCCCTGCTCCCCGTGCAGGGGAGAGGAGCGGGAGGGGAGGGGCTAGAGAACGCCCGCTGGGGAGCCCGGACAACCGCCCCGAGCTCTACCGCCCGAGCCCAGCGTTGGAAACGTCAGGTAAGAAGCGGAGCCCCGTGCCTGTCCCTTTAAGACCCACTCCCAGCCCGCCTTTGGCGGCGAGAGGAAAAGGAGGACTTACGAGATGGTCTTCCAAGCTTCCGGAGCTTAGCTTTCTCTCTCTCTAGCGTTTCTATCAATTAACGTCTGTGCCAAGTGCCCCCGCATAATCACACACGTCCTAACCGAGGCGTCACTGGTGCTTGGACGGGAGGAGAAGGCGTCGGTCCAGGTGGCATGCCCACATTCAAAGTAGTCTCGTCCGTGCTCTGCGCCCTTGTCCAAGCTTAGATTGCAGGAGCAGGGCTAACTCCGTGGAGGCTGGGGCGGAAGCTACGGGAGGGGTCGGCGGTTTACCCCCTGGCCGCGCTGTGGAAGAAAGCCGGCGGGGCAAACCCGGCGGGGCAGTTGTACTGTGTAGCTGCCTGGAGGGCAGCGAGCAACCGGGATAACCTGGAACTGCGTAAGGGAATTTGTGTCACGTGATGCCAGGCTGCTACAAACCCTTTTGGTCTGTAGCCAATGTCTTATTCCAGTGCATAAACCCCACACACAAACCCACGGCTCTGGAATGTGACGCATGCCAACCAGTTAGAACAGAGTGGAAGTGCTCCTCCCCACGGCTTCCAGGGCTGTACTCTTTATGGAAGCAGATAGCGCAGCCGCTGGTGGGCTCAGTGGCCAACCTCCTGGTTAGCGGCCTAACACTTAGCCCAGGCAGCACTAGTGCCTAACGGTAGAATAATTAACATACACGGAAAGTCTAGTCTGAGTTTGCACACTAGTGCACACAAATAGCACTTGGGAGCTGTGTTTGGACATTTGAGTTGGTAGCCTGGGTTTCAAAGGTGGGAGCTAACACATAAATATGTGTAATTCTGAGTTATCTTGAGAAATGAGGCTATCTGGCTTCTTGTAAATAAAGGGCACCGGTTTATTGGTTCCTTTGGACTTTTGACACTGCACTGAGCTGCTAACTACAAGGTCAGCAGTTCAAAACCCCCAGCCACTCCGTGGGAGAAAGAGGCTTCCTACAACCCTGAAGATGGACAGCTTCAGAAATCCTCCGGAGCAGTTCTGTTCTGCCCTATAGGGTCACTTTGAGTTGGATTTGACTCCATGAAAGTGAGAGAGAGAGAGAGAGAGTACATCTGTTATCTCACCACCAGTCTGCCACCCTCATGTATGTCACCAGTCTGGCTCCGAGGGCACCTGAGTCTTCATCGATTTGATGGCAGTGAGGGTTTGTTTGTTTGGGAGGGACTTAGGTGACTGTTGTGAGCTGTTGAGTCAGTTCCACTGCATAGCAGCCCTGCAGGACAGAACAGAACGCGAACTGCCCCATGGCGTTTCCCAGGCTGTCATCTGTGGGAAAGCAGATTCCCTGTCTTTCTTCTGAGGAGCAGTGGGTGGGTTCAAACCACCAACCTTCCAGTTAGCAGCTCACTGCTTAACCCTAGTGCCACCAGGATACTTTCTGAGTGACTAAGACCATTTAGGGCATTTATATAGAACAGGTGAGAGGGCCCACATAATTCGGTTTAGTTTTAGTGTTTAAGATGCCCGTCCTTACTACTACGTGTTCTTATCAAGGTGGTGCCCCACTTGGAGCAAGCCTTTTCAGCTCAGGCTTGGTCAATCAAGTTGAATCATTAATGTTTATAGAAAGAGATTTGGCATGATAGTTTATCCTTCTGTTACATTTCAATCTTCAACATTTTCTTTTAAAGATTGATTACCTTGATGTTTGGACACAGCAATCTTTTATTGAAATATGGTATAATGTGTAAACCTCTGCCCCGCAGATAGCTGCAATTTAACTCCACAACCTTTGTCTATACTTCCTCAAGGCTTGTTTGCCTTGTTACCTGTGCTATCCCACCATTAGAATATAAGCTTCACGAGGACAGGAGTTCCCAGTTGCCAAGCACAGTGCTTGCTTAAAGGTCAGTGATTTGTTTAATGTATGAGAGGACTTTAAAGGTATAATTTGTTTCATGCAACAGGCTACTTCTGAGGATTTCCCCTCAAATCCATTGTTTATATAACTGCTCTTAAAATACATTATTGGAAATATATTCCTTTGTAAAATTACCATCGTTTAAAGATTCCAAAGAAAAAGCAAACCCACTGCCATCGATCGAGTCGGTCCCACTTACAGCTCCCCTGTGTGCATCTTTATGAGAGCAGAGAGCCTAAAGCAGGGGTCCTCGAACTTTTTAAGCAGGGGGCCAGTTCACTGTCCCTCAGACCTGTTGGAGGGCTGGACTATAGTTAAAAAAAAACTATGAACAAATTCTTATGCACACTGCACATTTTGAAGTAAAAAAACAAACGGGGCAAAAACACCAGGCGGGCCGGATAAATGTCTTCCGCAGGCCGCATGTGGCCCACGGGCCCCAGTTTGAGGACGCCTGTTGCAGAGCATTTGGTAGGTTTGAACTGCCATCTCAACACATCTCAACCATAAGGATGCCTTTTGAAGGGGCTTCCCTAAATGGATGGCCCAGAGCTTTGGTCTGAATTGAACTTGTGAATCGTCAGATCCAGAAAGTACCCTGTCATATTTTTTTTTATCTTGTAATAGGATCTGGCAGTGTTGGTCAGCCTTGCTTCTGTTTTTAGAAGCCCAGCGAGCCCTGTGGACATCAGTTCGGAAGCCAAGTCCCTGTTCATTTCCCACGAGGAGCAACCCTTTTTAACAGCGATTCTGACAGAACCTGTGTTTTGGAAGAAGACTGATGGCTTTGAGCCTACATTGGAAAGTATGTGCACTATTTCCCAGGAACTTCTGCAGTCTTCGGAGGGCTGCGAGCAGCCGGGATCTTCCCTTGATTCCCTGGGGCCACTACCCTTGCCGAGGAGTTCGGTGCTTTTTGCACCCTGAGATGAAAGCTTTTCTGGAGGAGAACACTGAAGTCACCAGTGGTGGCAGCCTCACCCCTGAAATCCAGTTGCGGCTTTTGACTCCCAGATGCAAGTTCTGGTGGGAACGCGCTGACCTGTGGCCCTACAGTGATCCGTACTGGGCTGTCTACTGGCCAGGAGGCCAAGCCCTGTCCAGGTACAGCCCTCATTAAAAATGGGGTCTTTCACAGATGTGCTTTTTTTTTTTTCATCTCCCACCCAACTCTTCATTCTCCTCTCTCTGTTCACAAAGGAAAAAACACAGCAAAAGGCAAAAATACTTCTTTTCTGATTTAGGGCAGTTACACCAACATTTTTTGTTCTGTTTTCTTTCTTGTTTTGTTGCATAGCTTCATCTTCTACTTCAGGCTTTCAAGATATTTGCCCCAAATAGTTTACTCCTTAAGAGAAATCCTAGATCAGTGGTTCTCCACTTTCCTCATGCTGCGACCCTTTAATGCAGTTCCTCATGGTGTGGTGACCTCGCAACCACAAAATTATTTTCGTTGCTATTTCATAATTGTAATTTTGTTACTGTTATGAATCGGGCAACCCCTGTGAAAGGGTTGTTCGACCCCCCAAAGGGGTCTCAACTCACAGGTTGAGAACTGCTGTCCTAGGGCCATCTGCCACCAAGATCCTACAGAGTGATGCATGGGGCAGAAACACACACATGTTCTCAAGCTTAAGGGCCATAATGTGTGGCCAGTGCCGACTTCTCAGGTTCCCTCAGGCCGGACCTAAACACCCACTGGCCCTTCAGCTTTTCTAGGTCAGGCCTGAGAGTGTTGCTCCTGACTTTCATCACAGGAAGCCCTGCACTTGAAGTTTTTTGGTTTTTTTTAAGTGACCAATGTTGGGTTTATTTGCACTTGAAGTTTTTTAAGGGGTCCTTCCCCACCCTCCTTAATTGCAAAGTATGTTTTCTCACATATCCGTGCTATGCTTTTATGAAGACAGAGCTATTGAAACAAAGGCAGGGGCGATCAGTATTCAATCTGGTCTTTGCCCTTCGACAGCTGAGTCACCCTATCTGCTTAATGCTGTGAGGCTATGGAGCTGTGAAGACAAAAGGAGCTAAAGGCTTCTCTTTCACAAGGATGGTCTGACCTTGAGAGTAAATGTTGTATGTTGTTTTAAATGTACAGCACAGGCATAGATCTTTATGGGGAATCCCAAGGGCAGAAAAGTTTTCCAGGTTCTACTAAGCAATTCCAACTCTGGTTGTGGTGTTGCCAAACCTTCAAGCTCTAATTTGTTACATCGTAAGTATTTTGTAAATGCTGAGTTTTAGTGGTATCTATTAGAATGGCTATTTGTCAAATCTGAATATAAACATAATCAATATGCATCAGACTGAATCAGAAGGTAGAAATAGGTGACTGCAGATTGTCTTGCTTGGCCTGTATTCGTAGACTGTGTGGTGGTGGTTCTTACTTAGTGCTGATATTCAGCAGCCCTGGTAGCAGAGTGGATTAGGCCTTGGGCTGCTGAGGACAAGAGGAGCACTTGGAAACCACTAGCTGTTCTGAGGGGAAGGAGAGGCTTGGCTTTGGGCTCTGGAAAAGATCCAGTCTCAGAGACCCACAGGGGCAGCTCCACTCTGCCCTCCAGGGCCCCCGGGAGGCAGAGCCAACTTAGTGGCAGTGAGCGTTGCTAACATTTAAATACCTAAGAGGTGAGAAGTTTCTTGTTAAAATCAACTTGGTTTTGAAAAACAGGGAGATCTGATAACCCTGGATCTCAGAGTGGCAGCAGCAAGCTGAAGATGAGTAGCAACTGGCTCTTTAGACATTTAACCATGTACATCTATTCCTCCTGCACCATGGTTCCCCCTATTCTGTTGACCTCCAGTTCTGAGGTCAAGTGTTGGCTAACACTTAGGGTTTCAATGGTATCCCACCCATCTTCAGTTCTTTGGTAACTAGCTGTCCTTGGACTACATTTTGGACATTAGTTGTACATTGTCAGAGAAGTTGTAATGCAATCAGTAAAAATCACTCTATGGTGAACAGTCAACAGGAGACCAGGGACTTGATAGCTAGCTTGTTTAGTCCTGATCATTTTTCTGTTTGTCTTCCATTGGCATGGTAATTTCTGGATCACAGTAAGTACTCAATGGGAGAACGATGAGGCTGTCTGCTCCCATAAAGATTTAAAGTCTCAAGGGTCTCTGACTTGGGATTAATTCAGTGGCTATGAGACTGGCTTTGGAGAGGAAGTACTCGATCCTTTTTTTATCCGGACTTGGAAGGCATGATTATTCAGTTGAGTGGAATGGCTTACTGTTCATACTTGCTGAGGAGCAAAGCCCAGCTGACTCCATTTGCTCCTGCTTATTTTCTCCAGCTCTGAAAATGGACATTATGTCTCCCTCCAGCCACAATACTTGCCAAGGTTGGATCGAGGTCTTCGGCTTGGTTCCATTACTTTATTGTCTAGCCAACCCCAAGACAGTGTTAATTATTATTATTTTGACACCTCTTACTGTACTTTGCTGTGCAATCATTCTAATTCTTCCATCTATCTCTCTTTCTAATTTAGGTATCTTCTGGATAATCCTGACATTGTCAAAGGAAAATCTGTGTTAGAGCTTGGAAGTGGATGTGGAGCCACAGCCATTGCTGCTAAAATGAGTGGGGCATCAAGGATATTGGCCAATGACATAGACCCTAGTAAGGATTTCATATTTAAAGTTCATTTTTTTTCCTTCTTTTTTGCCCTGCCAGGAAATATATGCACCGTTGTCATCACAGGGCAGCTTATTGCCACGTGTGTTTTGTATCCTGAGGTTGTGAGCTTATGTTGAGTGAGTGGGGCATTCTCTGTGGGAATCCGATGAGGCCTGAGTGGAAGGTTCATTTACCCCCGAGGATTTCCATGTGTTTCTGCCAGGCATCCCAGAGTGATGCCAACCTGGGACCACTAACTAGTAATTTCCGGCTAGGAATTTCTTGAAATAGGTCAGTGGTATTTATTTGACTCAAGACTCAAGTGACGATAGGCCGGTGTCATTGGGGGAAGATTTTTATTTCATTAGAGCTCAAACTGAGGCAGATAAGCTTGAATTAAAAACCATTTTTTTTTCTCATCCACCCTTTCACTGACGGTCCCTTTGGAAATCTTTATTTCATTCAGGGGCCTCCTTCTACCTCATTGCCTTCTCAAGCCCAAAACCTGTGTCACTGGCTGCCATATAGCTGTAACAAACCGAACTTCCTGGCTATTGAGAACAGCAAAATCCCTGAGATCTTAATATTCCAAGATGTTTTTAATGTTTGATTTTGGAAATGGCAGTAAGAAGATTATATTCACATTACCTGTAGACATCTTTGAAAAACAATTTTCCACCAAAAGGGGAGAAAAAGATATTGATAGGAAATTTTCAAAATTATTCCAACCAATCACTAAAAACTATAGTGACCTGGCGTATACTCATTCATTATGTGTTTGTTTTTATTGAAGTTGCAGGAATGGCCATTACACTGAACTGTGAATTGAACCAGCTGAATCCTTTTCCCATTTTAACCAAAAACATTTTGGATTTGAAACAAGATACATGGGACGTTGTTCTCCTTGGAGATATGTTTTATGACCAGGACCTTGCAGACGCTCTTCATCAATGGCTGAAGAAATGCTTTCAGACTCACAAAACTCAAATACTGATTGGTGATCCAGGGCGACCCCAGTTCAGTGGACACAGCATTCAGAATCAACTGCACAGAGTGGTCGAATATTCACTTCCGGAGTCTACCAGGCAGGACAACAATGGATTGACAACAAGCGCAGTGTGGGATTTTCAGCCTTGAGGTCACCGAGTGCTCCCATGTGTGGATCTAGCTGTGTCTGGTTTTAACCCTAAACATTGCCACTGTCAGGATCATCTCCAGTTAAAGACTGTTCATTCCTGTTAAAGTGGCACGTCTTGTTTCCAAACTGTGTGGGCTGAAGGCTTTGTCAGCCTTTGTTGTGGAACTGCGTCTGCACCTCCTTTTGGGCCAATTACACATATCTGTTTCTGCAGTTTTCCTGCAGTAGGAATATGATGGCACATCACTTAGTGGTGATGACATGTAACTTTAAGTAGAAGAGAGAAGTTGGAAAATTGTAGCAGAACCTATTTCTAAAGTTGAGGACAACTATGATGTCTTGGAATAAAACAAAATTAAAAAATATAGATGAATTCTGTATTTTAAAAAATTGGTGACTATAAACTATGTAGTTAATAAAATACATTATCCCAGGGCTTTAGAGTTAGGCAGCTCTATCACTTTTAGCTGGGATTTTGAAGGCTAAACTGTCCAAGCTTTAATTTCCTTGTCTGAAGAATGGCAATAACACTCACTAAACCCCACTTTAAAGCATTTTTGCATTGAGTGAAAGGATATGCCAGGTGCCTAATATAACATGTAGTACCCAGCAGAACCTTAATTAAGGAACTGTGGAGGCATGGTGGTTAAAGAGATCATCAAAAGGTCAGCTGTTCAAACCCACCAACACTCCCGTGGGAGAAAGATGTGGCAGTCTGCTTCTTTGGAACTCACTCTATGGCAGTAGGATTGTTTTTGGTTTAGGGCCTTAAATTGTCCCTGGATGGTACAGATGGTTAACATGCTCAACTGCTAGCCCAGAGGTTGGAGGTTTGAGCCCACCCAGAGGCTCCTCAAGGAGCCTAGGTAACACAGAGGTTAAGCACTCAATTGCTAGCTAAAAGGTCAGTAGTTTGAACCCACTAGCCACCCCATGGAAGAAGTGGCAGTTGGCTTCCATAAAGTTGCCTTGGAAATCCAATGGGCTTGGTGATTGCTGACAAAACAGCATTGAAAACTCTGTGTAGTACAGCTCTACTCTGACACAGAATCAGTGGCAATTAGTTAGAGCTTTAGTTAACAAGCAATGCAAAAACTGATTGTAGACTTACTTTCTTAGATATTCTATGATACCTCTTTATGGCTTACCAAGTTTAGCTAAAAAGTGGTTTGCCTCGTTTGCATACCCCAGGTTATCAGGATCTTATACGTGTGTATCAATAAAAACTAGCAAGTGAAAAAACAAAATTGCAAAGGAGTGTATATCGTATGCCACCTGCTTTGGATTGAACTGTGTCCCCCACAAAACTAACTGCTATGCCTGTGGTTATAATCTCATTTGGGAATGGATTGTCTTTGTTCTGTAACTGAGCCAGGATCAGTGGAGAGTGTGTCTTGAGTCAATTTCTTCTGAGATAGAAACAAGTCAACTAGAGGAGCAGAAGAGGGGTAAGATAAATGTGTCAAGACACATGGAGATCTCTAAGGAACCAGGAAACCAAAGTGGAAGAGACAGGCCTTCCTCCAGAGAGAAATTCTTCCTTAAGAGCTGCTGCCCCAGATTCGACTTCTAGCCTCCTAAACTACAGGAGAAGGGTTATGACCTGGACTCTAGTCCCAGAATATCCTGCAAAGAGTAGAAGGATCATGACCTGGACTCTAGTCCTAGAATATCCTGCAAAGAGTAGAAGGATCATGACCTGGACTCTAGTGCCAGAATATCCTGCAAAGAGTAGAAGGATCATACCTGGCAGGGGAGACACCAGGATCACAAAGGCGGTTTTCCCAGGGCGAGGCTCATCCATTGCACTCCGGATGTGCTGACCCCTGCGATTTCCCCTAATGTGGGAAACTCGACTGCATACTTTGTGGTAGTGGGGGGACTGCGTTCACGCTCTCCTCTTTTAAAAAAAAAAGAAAAGTAAAAGCAAAGAGTAGAAGGGGAAAAAATGTGGAAAGAAAGGTCATAAAACATTTGATGAGGGATAAAACTATCCTACCAGCCAGATACAGACTGGTGGAACTCCTGAGCTGTAGCCCTTCGTCTTCTTTCCGGTCTGGAACCAAACTGACCCTCACAGCTCATTTTTCAGCCAAACAATAGGTCTACAAGCAGAACAGTGACAAGAAAGTATGAAAAAAAAAATATGTAAAAGTATGACTATCCTAGAGTCAACAACCATTTGAGAGCAAAAGGGCAGCCTTGGCCTAAGGACAAAGTCCAGAAGGTTAGAGAAGGAGGAAGGGAAACAGGAAATCAGAGAGGAAGTAGGATGTGATGTTATATTGTGGAGATTACAATATATGAGATGAAACAAAATGTATATGAATGGTTGAATGGGAAACTGATTTTTTTGGTAAACTTTCACTCAATTCACAAAAAAATTAAAAAACCAGGACACCCTATGAAGCACATAGAGTTTAGTCTGCCACACATGGAGGATTGACTTGAAGGCCACTGGTTGGTCTTGCAGGCATTTCTCAACCGTGATTTCAGTGCACTGGACACATAACACCAGGAGGGCCCATGCACTAGGAAGGGCTCAAGTGAAAGGTACATGTGGGCTACAGGACCTTTGTTGGTTTGTGCTCTGCCCTCCCTGGCCACCTAAACTACCCTATCTGTACAATGTGATTACATGGTTGTGCAACGTGTAAGTCTCTGGCTATCTATCTTGTTTCTCTTTTCATCACCATATTACTTAGGTTTTCTGTGCCCTGGCATAGCTTCTTTTTGTTCTCCTCTCCAAACTTTTCCATTATACACACCAGACTCTGTTTTGAATAAAATTGATATCCCCATACTGTCAAATCAATTAAAAGGAACAGAAGAAATGGTAAAGTGAAAGAGTTCAGTGGTCAGCTTGAGAAGCCAAAGCAAAGTATTAGATTGTGTGGAAACCTAGATTTAGAAAACCAAAAGGGAAGAACACACTGGATATTTCGCACACTGAAAGAACTAGAGAAAAAGTTCAGCGTGGGTAGTCTAATTTAAGTGTCGTATTATTTCTCTGACGAGCCACAGGGCAAGGCTATTCACTCTTATTTTCCAACACTTGGAACGTTCAGTTCTGCTGTAAAGGTAACAAAAGTATCGATGCATAATGCTAGGGACAAAACAAACCCATGACCATTGAACTGATTTTGATTCCTAGCGATCCTACAGGACGGTAGAACCGCTCCCTAGGGTTTAAAGACCATCACTCTTTAAAGGCACTTTGGGGCTTGTGCTTAATTCTAGCCTCAAATTACACTTAGTTCTTATAAGTTTAATGCTTGCCCTCATGAAGAGTTCACTGAAGATATGGTTGTTATAGCAAGGTGTGATGAAGAAATTAAGGTGGAGGGAGGGGAAGCGGAGAGGGAAGGGGGGAAAAAAGAAAAAAGAAAGAAAAATGAGCTGATTCCAGGAGCCCAAGTGGAAAGTGAGTGTTTTGAGAATGATGAGGGCAACGAATGTATAAGTTTGCTTTACACAATTGATGTATGTGTGGATTGTGATAAGAGTTGTATGAGCCCCAATAAAATGATAAAAATAAAGAAAAATTAAGATATGCCTGGCTATCTGAAAGAATTGCATCTGGAGTCTTAAAGGCATGTTTTCAAACAAGCAGCCATCTAAGTGAGCCATCAACTAAGTCCACATGGGAGAAGCACACCAGCCTATGTGATCCAAGGATTGTAAATAATAAAATCCAAATCTAAAGGAGGGAATAGCATCAGAGCTTAAATTGTGAACACTTGGTTTGCAGAAGGTTCTGGATGACAGTGAAAGCCTAAAGTCCATTTTCAGGGTCCACACATGATTTAGCCTCCAGGAAATCCCTTCTGATCATAGTTGAGGGGTGTGAATAGCCCTGTTACCAGACAGAAAACATGACAGATGTAATTTGGTCAAAATGTAACATCTTATCATTTGACCCATTTTAAAGCTGTTTCAGTTAAAAAAAAAGAAAAGGTGAGCGGGAAATACAAGTGGATTAAGCCCTTGGGGAATACCATATCACCATGGACCAGGCGTGTCAATAGCTTTGCTATAATGCAGAAAGCATTGGAAAGTGAATTGTTGCAGATGCAGGTAGGTTAAAAGTCAGCACCCTACCATTTGTTCTCCTTTTGATCCACTTAGATTTGTTCTAGTTTTAATATTCTCTGCTTTTTTATTGTGGTTTTTATCGGTTTTTGTTCTTTGTTTTATCATTTTGATATTCTTGTTAGTTTTTACTTGCTTGTTTATAGATGCTTTTCTGTATATGAAATCCAGGATGGATAGATCTATTGACACAGTAACTGGATTAATGGTTCTTGCAGGCAGTGCAGGAAAGTGGGGAGCTAATAAAGATGAGGATGAGAATGAAGAAAATGTTCTAAAATTGATTGTGGAGATAATTGTACAATACTTCTTGATTGAACTATTGTACAATAGGATTGAACTATTGGATTGTATGATATGTGAATTATATGCCAATAAAACTGTTCAAAATAACCAAAAAGTAATAATTTGGAAATGAAGTTCAAATGAAACAGATCTTTATAGTGACAAAGAGCCACGTCTTTCTCCTGAAGATCAGCTAGTAGATTTGAACCACAGACCCTGGGCTAGCAGCTCACAGCTTATCGCATAGTGCCACCCTTTGATGCTCTGTGCCAGAAGGAATTTCTTCTTTCTTTACTCACTAATTCAGTAAATAGTAGAGGGCTCATTAAATACCAGCACGGTTCAAGGCCCTGGGAGATACGGGAGTGAACAAAAGGGTCAAAGCCTGGTCTTCAGGAGCTAATATTTAGAATGAGGAAATCAATAGAGAAAATAAACATGGATTTGGGATGGTAGGAGGCAAGCAGGCCAAGGTGAAGGGACTATTGGGGTGGGGATTAGGTACTGACATTTTAAACAGGGTGGTAAAGAATAGTTAATACAGCAATCATAAAAAATACAAGAAGATTCAGCTGCAGCTTGCTTTAGGAAGTGTCGACCTTTTCAGATCCCGAGGGTCGCTGCACATTAGGTCTTAACAGTTTTACAAGGCAGGGGGCTATTGATTTTTTCAGTTATTTGATATTAAGTTTATTGACTTTGTAGAATAATGTCACAAGTGGAACAGGCCTTACCCACATAAACATATATCCATTGGGGGCAGTGCCACGAAGCTACGTCTACATTAAACTCACTGCCATTGAGTAGAGGCCAACTCAGAGCGACCCTATAGGAGAGGGTAGAACTGCCCCTGTGAGGTTCCCAGATTGTAACTCTTTTTTGTTTTAAAGTTTTACTGGCATAGAATTCACATATATTATTAAATAGTTCAATCACATCAACACTATCTCTTTATGGGGTAGAAAGCCTTGTCTTTCTCCCTTGGAATTGGCTGGTAGTTTTGAACTGCTGACCTTGTGGTTAGCAGCCCAATGCATAACCACTACGCCACCAGGGCTCCTTCTACAGGATAAGATGCCCCATTTATTAAGTAATTAATAGTAAGGAGAAGAGGTAGATATATAAGTCCCAACCCCCAACCATGCACAATAAACTTAACCGTACCACATAGCTTGTTTATTCCTCCATTACAGTCAGTAGAGGAAATAGAGGGTTCCAGTGAACAGGCTCATGGGCAGGGATTATGCTGAATCTGGGGGTTAGTTTAAGCGCAGTAAAAACTTGAGACAATTTTGCGATTACAGAAGAGTAAACACATTTCATTTGAAACAGTGCAGTGTGAAACCAATACAGTGTCAGCGTATAAACTCTGAAGTATTTTGCATCGACTGCTTTTAAGACATTTCCAAATGCCTTTTAACCTAGTGAGGAAGGTCATGGGTGAACAGCTCGTGTTTGGGAAGAAGCGCTCTAAGGGTCACAGAAATACGAGGCTGGACCAGGGCCTCCGTGACAGTCAGATGTGGTATGACATCAGGGGTTATAACATGAAACTATGCGATTTCTTTGTTTCATTGAAAGAATAAATGATGTAAAGAATTTGCAAGTCTGATATTCAGCTTTGCTCTTGGCAAATGGGCATTTAAATACCATGAGAAAGGTAAGAGCCAGAAAATATCTAGGAAAGCCAACTATGCTTTAAGAAATACCCTTTATTTAAAATTCTAAAGGTCATCTATATTGGTAAAATTCTCTTTTGACAACTCAAATACCTAGGATGGGGAAGGAAATGTTAAGAGAAAACAGATAATTTAGAAACCTTGCTACTTAAGAAATAAAACATAATCCTCCTTCCCCAATAGATCAGAAGTCATGCTAGGATTACCCTTTAAAAACAATGACATATTAAACAAATATAGAATAATAGCACTTTCAAATGTTTAAGAGCCTAGTTAATGTCAAAGCACAAAGCATGTACATCCTGGGATTTAGCTGGTTAGCTGAGGGTTATAATACAGTCATGTTAAATTAAGTAAAATGCCAATCTCTGTAGACTGTTGTCTCCTGGGAAAGTAGTATGAAGAGCGCAGTTTGGTAGGCTTCAGTAGCATCAGTAGACAGTCCATGTCACTTGCTTTAGCTTTTTTGGGCCTACTAATTGTTCCAAGACTTCTCTTGAATGATCTATAAAATAAAACAATGAAAATACATAATTCACAGTCATCAAAGATAATTAGTTTTCCTAGACTGGAACATGTACACTGGTACAGGTAGGAGCTCTTGACACACGGAATCCAGGACAGATAAGCCCCTCAGGAACAATAATGGGAGTAGTGATGGCCTGAGAGTTGGGGGGAACGTGGGGAGAAGGAAAAGAAAGGGAGAACTGATCACAATGATTGCAGTATAATCGCCCCCCTCCACCCCAAGGGGATGAACAACAGAAATGTGGGTGAAGGGAGGTTGCGAACAGTGTAAAATATGAAAATAATAACTTATAATTTATCAAGGAGTCAGAAGAGTGGGGAGGGAAAAAAGACCAGCTGATACCAAGGGCTCAAGTAGAAAGAAAGTTTTTAAAATGATGATGGCAACATATGTACAAATATGCTTGATACAATTGTGTTAGTCTGGATTGACTAGAGAAACAAATTCCTAGACACTCATGTGTATATAGAGTTCTATATACAAGAGCAATTGAATATTGAGAAAACATCCCAGCCCAGTCAGCCCATATGTCCGATACCAATCTATAAATCCTCTTTAGACTCACACAACATATGCAATGATGCTGAATGCAGGAAGATCATAGGCCAGTGGGCAGGAAATATTGTGGATTCAGTGGCGGTGTAAGCATCTTAGCACTGGCAGGGGTCTCCACGTGGTTACTTCAGCTCCAGGGCTCTAGAGTAGCTCCATGTGCCTTCTCAACAGGAATATCTCCCAGGGAGTGAGTGTGTCCCACCTCCAGTTAGCTTTTTATCTCCTTAGTGCCTCTAAATGAGATCATCAAGCTGTGACCTGATTGACAGGCTAACCTCTACCCCTTTGCTCTTAATATTCTCAAATTAACTACCACAACAATTGATGTATGGGTTGTTATAAGAGCTGTAAGAGTCCCCAATAAAATGACTTATTAAAAAAAGATATTTAGTTTCCTCATTTGTAAATGGAAATGATAACTATTATATCTCATACGGTTCTCTTAAACAATCAAATGAAATAATATATAATGCATAGTACACAAGCAAATAAAACATTTATTTAATGATAGCCCTCTCCCTGTTGGCTGGAGTGCTCATCTCAAACTAATTCTTTTAAATATAGTCATTTATTGTTTTCTCTGTGATTTCAATACTCAGAGAATATGGGAGTCACTGTACCACTCACCTATACATCATTCAGGGCCTTGGAAAGAAACAGATGACACACTAACATGGGGCAACTGAAGGTGTTTACTGAGGGTACTGTTTACCAATGTGGAAACTAAGCTAAAGACAGCCAGCAGTGCGGGAAGCTGCAATATGCCTGAGAGGTTGGGCAGGGAACAGTTACCGAGACATGACAAGGTGACCTGTAGTTGAGCAGTTGTTGTAACCATGTCATACAGTGCTACCAATAGAGCATGACTTTTTAAAGAGATAACTACGATATGAATGTACTATAATTTAACCAATCCTTATTACTGGACAGTTAGATGGTTTCGATTTTTCAACAAAGTTGTCTAGAAGTGATTTTAATATGGTTTTCATCTTTTTAAAGTCAGATTTATAAGATCTCTTAATATTTGAATTAGAAAAATTAATGATAAAAAATTTAAGAATTTCATAAGTGATAAACTTGTTCTAAAGATATGACCTATGTTGTACATACTTGTGTTTTTTCCAACCCAGCCTTGGAAATTCTCTAGTGCAATGGCTTTTAGAATTACAGATTCCACACACTAATTTTATAAGGAGGGGTGGAGGATTAGATGGTAGACCCTACGTATGACTACTATATTTTATTTTAATCTTTTTAAGGTTTCCAAAGCTGTATATCTTTATTTATTTTCTGAGTTTACAATAAGTTTATTTATAGTCACTAAACACTGAAAACAACTCAAGTGTGAATGATTCAATAAACTTGGTACATCCACACAATTGAATGCTCTCAAAACTCATTGTGACTCTATTTTATTTTAAGCAAAATGAAAATAAACAAAACATCAACTAACTTTATCACACAACGATGAAAGGACATTTCAATATTAAAATAGTAAAGATACCAACCCAGAGCAAAGAATCATCTTTTCTAAAAAGAGGACTTGAGAAATATGTAGTGACATTGGCCTCATATTAGTGAAACTGTCACATGCCAGCTCGAGTCTCAGTGCTCACTTTGACAAGGACAAAGTGACAGTTCACTTGCAGATGAGGAATCAATCGGATTCTATAATCAAATGACTGAATAGGATGATAGAGTACTGTCATACCCTAATTCTGGCTTAATGTCTGTAAGAATGTAATTTTCAAATCTGAATGAACGGGTTCTGTTGCTATGGCCCAGCCAGGCCTTCTGGAATTCACTAGGCACAACACACAGAAAGCCAGGCTCAGTAACAACAAGGAGCGTACAATGAGCCCTCCAGATCACATCTGGTCAAACCAGAGAGGAAGGTGGTACTTCTGATCCAATCTTACATACTTACTATGTGGTCCCATATCCTCAGTGCCTGAAATGCAAAACTGGATAAAAGATGTTATCATTTACTAAAGCAGAACTTATGATTCAGAATCAACTTGATGGCAGTGAATTTTTTTGATTTACAGAGGAACCCTAGTGGCATGTTGGTTACATAGTGGGCTGCGATCTGCAAGGTCTGCGGCTCGAAACCACCAGCAGCTCCTGGGAGAAGATGGGGCTGCTTTCTACCCCCACAAACAGTTACAGTCTCAGAAACTCACAGGGACAGTTCTACCTGCCCTGTTGGGTCACTAGAACTCATTACTGACACCATGGCAGTGAGTTTGTTTGTTTGTTTGTTTATTGTTTGTAGAACCGAACAACTGGCTCTCTGATGGTTGCGACGGGGAAATGGGAGCTGTCCGTTTTAGATACTTTCTTATGCATCAAGTCTTTGCTATGTCAAAAGACTTTTCTTCCTGTGCTCACAACATACAAGACGTAAGAGAGGGCTTCAAAACGTTAGTGGAAAAATTCCTTATCTTTAAAAAAAATTATTTTTTAATTCCATTTTTCCACAAAATTTTCTAAGCTCCCTCATCTTCGATTTAAACAAACAAACACTATTTCTCCAGTGTAATGTTTCATTCACAATAGACGCTACTGAAACTCACACATCAGATAACAACTTCTGGTGATAGAAATGCACAGTTTAACTTTAACATCATTATGGGAGAAAAAAAGAAAATGGTGCATTACAGGCATGAATAAATAATAATTTTTAACATAAGAAGCCAATTAGTTCTTCAGCTAAGGGAGATAAAATGAAGACTAAAATTTTTAGCAAATTGGAAGATGAATATATCCATCAACACGCTCATTTAAAAGTCACACAGCACATTAGGAAGGAGAGAGGCAAGAAACTAGAGAGAGCTAATATCAGAGCTCTTCAAACTTCTCTGCAGCAAAACAATCACCAAAATAAAACAACTCAGGCATGGAAAGACAGGGTAGAACTGCCCCTGTGAGTTTCTAAGACTCTAACTCTTTGTGGGAGTAGAAAGCCATGTCGTTCTCTCAAAACAACCATAATTGGTGAAGATAATAAAAACAAAACAACAAACAAACACCAGCCACTTCAAATCTCTACAAACTGTCCAGAGTGCATGTAGAGGGTTTAAAAAAGTCAGTGGAAAAACAGAATGTAAAGATTATAGAACTTTCCCACCATGAATGTTTTTGAAGCACCCTTGTAGAGACAATGAAAATATTTATTCAAAAACAATCTACTGGTACAAATGCGCTTTACACAATTGATGTGTGTATGGATTGCGATAACAGTTGTATGAGCCCCTAATAAAATGTTTAAAAAACAAAACAAAACAATCTACTGGTGTGCATCAGGAGAAGATGCTGGACCCCAAGGAGAACGGCCTGATGGAGCTACTAGGTTATGAGCACATGGAAGATGAAATGTTCCCTCCTTCATCACGTCTAGCCTCTCCCGGGGGAGGAGACAGTGAGATTGCTGGGCCTGATGAAGAGTTAGAGAAGAGCATGTGTTCCCAGGCCTCAAAGAGCAGTTCAGAGGAATATACCTAAGCTGGATGCTCAGAGGTTAATTTCAGAGCAAGGGCTTGCAACCCGAAGGAAGGGTTCGATAAGACAAAACTCAAAGGTAAAGGTCATGAGGCGGAAGACTTGAAGGACCTAATCAGACACAGGGAGCGCTGGGCACAGGCTATTCCCTAGACTGCACTTGGAGGATTTGGTGACAGAAATAAAACGGAAGTTCAGACCTGTTTAAAAGGAATCCAACTTGATCTCTCAATTTTACATGAAGATTTTATTAGCGATAAAGATGAAGTAGAGGAAAATAGTGACCGTGATATACCTATCACGATTTAAAGCCCTTTATTGAAATACCCTAATGTTTAAAATCTAACCAGCTAATCTTAGCTTCTGTAATTTTTGCTTAGGCTTAACTCAGTTGGACTTCCCTGGTCATGGTGACCGATTTTGGAATCAACAGTGACGAAAACACCATACTAAAACAACCGCAAACTTTGGAAATTCCCCAAACCCTCCCACCTGAAGTAAGCATGTGTGTGTAATGATTGACTGTGTAAAGTCACACACCCCTCCCCGCTGTGTGTGGTTTTATGGTTCATAAGCTAAGCGTTATACTGTACTGGGGCCAGAGACTTTGAGTGACAGCTGACTCCCCTTGGCCGCCTTTGAATAAAAGGTTCTCTTTGAATAAAAGGTTCTCATTTGATGTATTTGGTGTGGCTTTGACTGTCTCGGAAACCGGGGACAACATATGGGGGCTTGTCTGGGACAGTCAAGCCCACCACCATGTGAGGGAGCAACCTCCCTGCTGGGCCGCCCTGTGCGTTTATCCTGAGCTCTGTGGCGCTGCTTCACAGAGACCAAGCGTACTCAAGAGAAGCACTTTTCGCTTACGCTGTGCTGTGTGGGGAAACTTTGTATTTCCTTGGTTGGTTTCTTCTTGGGTG